TCTCATGAAGATATTTCCAAAATTATTAGGCGCTATACTGATGATGTAAAAAATGCATCTATGGTCATTAATAGCTATCTTCGAAAAGGTGAGTTTGTTGTATTTGATCTCACTAGGCCAGAAGATGATTCCCTTGCAATCTGCTTAAGGTTTGATACTCTACTAAACCTGCAGAAAGAGATAGAGGTGAGGCAGAAGCGCAAGGAAAAAAGTAGTCAAGCTAATTCATGCACGCCTCTGATCAAGAATTTCACGTGACATCCTGAGCAATGGTCAGCAAAAAAAATCATGTGATTTTAACTGGGGCGCCCTGGCTGAAATTGCCAAGAAATAAAATATGTATATTTATGAAATCGACTACCAGGTTACTTTAATGATACAGTAATATAAATAAATACAAAGGTTTGGGAACTTGCCTATAATACATGATATTTCTATGATATAATACATGGAATTACACTAATTGTTTATTATATGTGGGCGTGGAAACGGTAGGACTTGGATTAACATTTTGGGGCGGATGAGAGGTGGCTTGTTCTAATGCCAGCATTATAAGACTCCTATTCACGATCATTATATTTCTTAAGTTTAAAAGTAAACGAATAAGAGATTTCAAGCGTGACTGGTGAGGGGATAATGGAATTTCCGCATGATCTAGATGGAAGTATCTTGGTATACCAGCCAAATCCTTCACAAGAATATTTAGATACATAGTTGTACTTGCGATTTAAATTCCCACAACACCAAATTGATTACTAACTGGTCTACATAATGCACTGATATAACTTGTCCCATTCAATGTTTCTCTCCATAACTTAACCTCGTCATCTGATTTTTTTGAGTTACTACATACGATACGTAATGATTCAGTATACAATAGCTCAATAATTTTTTCATCTTACTTCACTAAACCCATAATGTCAGGTTTTTTTCCCATCTGCTCTCCAATTATTCCTAGATTTTTCCGAGCCTTGCTTGCTATACTTTGACATTCAGCTGTGCTTAGACAAATAGCATCATTCAGAAGATTGCTCAAACTCGTTTGAAGTAAAGGAATTATGACATCTGCCATATATGTCCCTTCACTCTGCTCACTGTGGGATGTACTAGTCATAAATGTGGGATTGCTTCATATTTTACTACTGATAAAAGAAACGTAATTAATACAGTGATGTTCCATCAAATATTGAATAAGCAAGCAACTTAAATTATGTCTAGAATACGTTCTGTTATCTTTACTAAATCTGTCTCACTTTCTTTCCATTTTTTATTGTGAAGTATGTTCTTCATAGACCTTGCATTCTT